CCAAACTTACAACCTTACCTTCTCCCCAATAGAGATGCAGGCTTTGGAGTCTAAATCTCTAGGCGGCCTATGGGAGAGAAAGAAAAGAAAAACACAGGTGAAGCATCAGTTCCCGAGACCGTACAACTGCAGCTATCCCAAAGGACCAAGCGTGTCGGATCACAACCCAGATGGAGACGGTCGACAATACTAATGGAGGCCTGGGCATGAATCCCCCTCACGCCGCGGATGCTCAGCATCACGCGGAGAAGTACCAGTGGCTTCCTAGCCTCACCGCGCGGCTAGACCTTGCCAAGACTCACAGACTCATCCCAAAAGGGGTCAGGAAGGACGCCGCCGGAGCTGGACTTTCACAAGTCTCTGTCCAACACCCACAGTAAGGAACTTAGAGAGATGATCTCCTTTGATGGGCTGGGTGACCAATCCCAGCGAAAAGTAAGAGAGGGAGGGAGAATTAATCTCCTTTCCTGGGTAGATTAAACTGCGCAGAGATCTAGCTGTCTGCTCTCTCTACAGAGGGTCCAAGACCTAGCTCACCCAGGGATGAAAGAAGCAGCTTGGCCCCTGGCGCCTTGTTTCAGCGCCGTTTCTAACAGGCTAGAGAGATGTGTGTCTATCTGTTTTCTAATGCACTTTTTCCTCCCCTGGCTTCGAAGGATGGACATCCTCAGAAGATCTTTCACATCCCGCTTTCTTCTTGCTGTACGCCTTAGCTCACGTAACTCTGGCATACTGCAAGTTAGGGACCATATTGCTTGACCCTGGCCTTGGGGCATGCAACTACTGCCTGTCCCGAGCATCAGGATTGCTAGCCTAGCTGCTTTAGTACCTGACTCCAGGCAGAAAGGCTAACCATCCTGTTATCCCCTTCACATCGCTCCCAGCGCCTGCATCCAGCAGCATGTAGGGTCACCCGTGTTCACAAAATCTCAGACTTTCACAAGAGCTGTTGTTTTTTTTTAAATTAAGTTGTTTCTGGAAAGTCACAAAATTATTACACCAGGAGCAGCCAAAGCATTTTAATAGAGGGTGGACTCTCATGTCTCCTGATCTGAGTAAGTCCCTGGGGAGCTCCAGGGAGAAAGAGTGTGATCCCATGGGTGCAAGTGTTCCTAATCGATCCGTAAAGGAAAAAGAGGGTTATCCTCAGTGAAACGTAAACCTATATTACCGTCCCGCCTGCCAACATAAGCAGGTAACCACATTAGGCAAGACGGATGGGAGGTAATTGCTTCAATGATCAAAATGAATCATTAAGGAGGCTAACAAGCGCACGCAGGGTTTGCCTTATGCAGCAAATGACATCCTAATAGCACAGACCTGTTTCCTAAGGGGTTTTATGTATTTATTTCCTTATTTTAAATCAGCTTATTCCAAACCTGCAAGAGAGGCAGCCCCGTGGGCTAAAATCATCCCCTTCCCCCTTTCATTTCCTTTGTCATGGAGATGTGCAACAAAAGGGCACATTAAAGAAAAACTACCGGGGCATTGGGTTATTCTGGCACCAGAGCGAAGGAGCAGGAGGACAGGGTTGCTTTGCCCAGGATTTTTCTAGCTGAGGCATCCCGAGGAAAGATGAGTGAGTGTCCTCACACCTCCTGGATTGTGAAGGAAATCCCCCCAAAAAAGCAGGGAGATATGCGCTGCAAAGAAGCCCTACAGAGACGTTGTGATACAGACACACCAAATGGCAATGAGAAGTTGAGAAGTTGTTTGGAAAAAAACCAATTTGCTCCCAACCCGTGCCACCCGTGCAGGTCCGGTCAGCGGAGCACCAAGGCAGAGCTCAGACCCATCAGGGAAGGCAGATCTACATAGTTCCAGGGTGAAGCAAACCGTTGGGATAAAGCCAATGAATTCAATTAGTAAAGGTCATCATAATGTGGCCGGGAAAATTCTGCTCCGCTCTTTTTCCTAATAGGCAGGAATTTGTTTGTGTTTGCATCGGCCGAGCCATTTAAAGAAGCAAAGCAGAATTGCCCCTTTACAAGTTGGCATCTCCTCCCGTCCAGCCTGGCAGTACTGCAGTGGCAATGGATGTGCCTGATTCAGCAGACTCCCATCCCAGCGAGCAAGGCAGGAGCTCTTCGGAGCATGGTCATAAGCACACACAAAACCTCTTCAATATTTCAAGAAGTTCATGGGTTGATCACAAATGAAGTAAAAGCATCTTGAGAGCCACTATTACAAAGTGGCGTCCTCTGCTAGTGGAGAAACCCGCTTAGCTGGCTTGATAAGCTCTTCACGAGAGGGGTCTGCTTCATGTACCTTGATCTTTGATAACTTGTGCAACTTTTCCGGTGGTTGCCTTGAAAAAGTGCCCTGCATTTTCCAACCCAAAAGGATTGCTGCACTGCGTCATCTAAGTATGAGACAGCACCAAAGAGTTGGGCCACTGGAAGTGGGGGTCTAAAACAGATTCGTCCTGTACGTAAATGAGCCTGGATAAAGCAAATTTCACACAACTGCCCTGAAATCCTATGTCCTCTCTCTCCCATGCACACTGTTGCCTACTCAGTTCATGCAGATGAAGGGCAGGCTCACGAAAAAGTTGAATCTGTGGAGTCTTTCTTACTCTCATCATTTTGATGCTTTGTCTCCTTTTATTCCCTTCCCCTGCCTGACCAGTAAGTCATCCCTACAACCCTGGCAAGCAGAGACACTGGTCCTGCTGCCAATCTGTGACTCCGCTGAGCAGAAGACTTTGCACAACTCCCTCCATGAGATGCACAAGGTCTCATCTACCCAACAATTGCCGCTGGCTGGGAATAGCCCTTCAGTCAGGCCTGGTTGAGCAGGTTAAACCCTTTTCAACATCTTCTTGGAAATCCAGAGCTCCTGGGATGAGCCAGGCAAGTGGTTTGCTTCGCTATTTAACTCTGCAGATCAGTGCTAATACCATCTCTGTGGGGTTCCTGCAGTGAACTCCTTTTGCTCTCTGCTTTCCTTGGAGGCATTCATCAAGAGGTGGGATGACCGTCTCTCAGCTTCCTTCATAAAACCTAAACCCTAAAGAGTTTGGGTCAAGCAACCCTTTACTTTGGATTCCCTCCCTGCAGCACCGGATGGCTAGGACAGGCAAAGCCCTCACCAGGGATGCAGCAATGACCATGAAATGGAAGAGGCCACAGGAGAAGAAATGCCAACAGAAGAAGGGGAATGACCAAAGAGAAGTCAACTGGGCAACATAAAGGAGCCAGTGGAAGCTATGGCAGGAGCTCACCTATTTCATACTTGGACTTGCTAAGGGGGGCTTACCAGCCCAACACAAGACCCACTCCCTGAAGCAAAGATGGGGCCCACCGAGCCCAGAAATCAACCACACCGAGGCCAAAGAGCACAAATAGGTGCAGATTAGAGGGTAAAAAGAACAAGGAATGGGACAATGAGCAGGAAACCCTAGGGTTCAAGAAGGAATTCAAGGAGTCTATTTGATATCTGAAACTGGGAATTTAAATGGGCCCTTGACTGAGGGAGAGGACCACACAGCAGGGAAACGGCAGTGATGGTCCAAGGGGTGCGGGGAACCCAGGACGATGTCTACAGCTCGAAGAAGGGCAGTGACAGAAGTGGAGGACTTCTTCTTTGCAAGCTTTCGGGTACAACTACCCTTCATCAGGTTGAGGAAGCGTCTTCAGGTGTTCTGCGCTCTTCCTGGATGGAGCAATAAAGCAGCTAGAGGCCAGGACATGTGCAAGAAAGCCAGTCAATTAAAATACATACTGGCATCTGGCTGCTTTACTACCCCATCCAGGAAGAGCAAAGACCATCTGCAGATGCTGCCGCAGCCTGACAAAGGGTACCGGTACCCGAAAGCTTGCGAAGAAGATTTGTTCCAGCTATTTGAGTTGGTCTGATAAAAGATACCGGATTTAACCTTGTCTGCCTATGTCCTTAGACCAACACGGCTACAACCTACACCCCTGAGAAATGAGGAAAGGGCTAAGACCTACACCCCTCTCCCCTTTCTAACATTTGCATTTATGTTATATCATTTCCTAAAGTCCCCGAACGCACTTAGAGCAGATTTTTCTGCTGCCCCTTTGCCCACCCCTGCTGAAACTCAGTGCTCCCAGATGTCCAGCACAACGGCCGGGAGCTCCCTTCACGCCGCGGCTGTGCGAGAGGATGCTGAAGGCAGAGCTCCCCGCTCCTGAGCGCCGAGGGGGAGGCAGAAGGCTATGCATCTTTGGAAAGCAGCTGGGGTTAGTGGTTTTATTTTTGTTCTCCCTCCATGTTTGGAGACTTACGTGGAGCTTGTCTGTGGTTGCTCAAATGCTTCCTTAGGAATTTTCAGCCCCGGGTTTCTCTTCTTGCCTGTGAAACAAGAGAGAGGCAATAGCAGAGCCAGAAACTTTCATTTTTTATGTTGTTGTTTTTTTTTTTCCTCACTCCCTCTGCACTTACACGTTGCAAAATGAAGCTCGTCTACAGTGGCTGACCTTATTTCCCTGAAATGCCAGCCCAGTCTGGTGATGCAGATTCAGGGCCCAGAGTTCAAAATATAAAGTTTCTTTGTCTGGTGAGCCGCATGGAAAGCCTACGGTCCTGGCACTCAATGCAGGCAGCAGCTCGTGCCACGAAGCCTACGGGAGAGCACCGTGTCCCTTTGCACAAGTCCTACAGCACGCTGCCTAAACTAATTTTGAACACACAGGACCAGGTTTTGTTCTGGCTTGGGGAACAACCACTGCGCGCCGCGTACTTAGCAAAACCCAGCACAGCGGGAGCAAAATTCAGTTCGGTTCGCATCTGCAGGCCACGCTTTCCTTATACTGCGTTAACCTGAACTGGATTAGAAACAAGCTCTCAATCGGGTCAAACGTTCCTCGAGCTCAGGTATAAATGGGGGTCCTGGCCAAAAGGCGAAGAGCCAGGTGCAACAGGGCAATGCAAGCAGCTCGTTCGCAGCAATACGGCTCCCATTACGCGGTGCTCTGCATTCGGGGATAAAATGATGTGAGAACATAAAGCATGTCAGCAAAATCCCAAGGCACACATCCAGAGGCTGTTTGGGTGTGTTAGAAAATACCTGGCCCCCCAAAAAAGGCACAAACACCTCATTTCGACTTTACCATTCGAACCTAACAATTTGCAGCAATTACCGTTTTTCTGGAAGCAGCCGTTTCTCTCCCCGTTCCCGGCAAGCTTTCCTGTGGGCATGGCAGGGTTTGTTTTTCTATGACACCCTTTGCCGTCACGCTCGAGCCTAGACACGGCCAGGAAACGCAGAGCTCTAGAGGGCGCTGGGTTAAAATGCAAACTGAACATGAACTGACCTGAACTGAACATGATCCTGCTGAAGTAATTAGTCAACTTTAATTGCAGCTCTTTCTCTTGCCTGTTTCAAAAGACAAGATCGAGCTTGCTCGGTTTGGCAAAAGGCTATTCCAGCCTGGAACAGGCTGTGACAATACAGCTGACACCCCAGGGGAAAAGCACTTACTGGAAATGACGGGATTGCACGTGCTTTTTTTTGTATTATTAGAAAACCATAACGTGCATATGAAGAAAGCATGTCCTCCGCTGCAAGGAGGCATGCTATGCTCCATAAGGAAGCAAGAAAATGTATAGAGACAAGGAGTTGCTATATTTACGGGATCTGAGGTCACCTGGCCATTGTATTTTGGGTCATTTTCTCAATGATATCACAAAAGCCCCAGCCCAGATCGAGATGATAACTTGGTGACAGGGGCGGATATATTTTGGGGTGCAATCTTATTTCAAAAAAAATGCAAACAGACTCCAGTTTCTCTCGATACATTATGAGCAGGAGAGAGCCTCCCTGCTTAGAAATCCAAGCATGC